TCTCGTCCACAGGTGTCATCCCAACATCCCTACACACTAGCCTGAAGATATTACAACGTCACCAACTTACTTTCATCCTTCTCCAAAAAGCTGTAACATTAAACACTTGTAGAATAACCCGCAAATTTTTGTCCTCCACTTAAAAATTATCCATCCTCATCATTCATAATTTATCATTTCATGTCATTGTTTGGTGATTTTTACCCGCAATGATCAGTCTATTACCCCATCAATGGGAGATATATAATATAATAATAATAACCACCTACTTTCATCCTTCTCCAAAAAGCTGTAATATTAAACACTTGTAGTAGTAGTCCCCAAATTTTTGTCTCCCACTTAAAAATTATCCATCCTCATCATTCATCATTTATACTGTCATTGTTTGGTGATTTTTACCCGCAATGATCAGTCTATTACCCCATCAATGGGAGATATATAATATATATATAAAAAAAAAATAATAATAATCTTTATTTGTCTCAAACCGAAACTTTTTACACAATAGAACTATTACCCATAGGATAATATAATTTAAAAACTAATGAATGAGACAAAACGGTCTATAACTCAGGGAGGGCAGTGAGTCCACCCTGACTGCTATTCTGTTATAGCCTTTATCAGTAAAATACAATAAGAGATCGACTACGACGATAGCATAGCCTTAAAGACAAAATTTATTTCTTTATACAAGAAATTACAGTAATCACCTGACGATATAAATGTAATCGCGTATGAAATTTATTCACACTCATCAAGAAATGCGCGGCAATTTTTTCTGCACCCGACTTGTTACGATTTCAAGTCAGGAGAAAATCATTGAACGATTTAAATTGTAAAACAGGTTTCTGTTGAGGCTGGATTAGGCAAAATGAATCCATTTTATCATATTATAGACGCTTGGAGGACGCAGTAATTTGAATGTTATTATGTTTAATGACGTTATTGTACGTGTATGTGAATTATGTTTGCATGAATAATTGTATATATTGCTTCACCACCTGATTGTTCTTTATACTTTATTGTACACACACATCTATATACATATAAATAAAATTGGAGTGTCTGTTTGTAATATTGAAATAACCGTCTTTTACTACATGCATATGAATGTAAATACGGTACATAAACCAAAATAACATTTTTTACAATTTTTGTCTATCTGCTTGTCGGTTTGTTTGTTCCGGATAATCTTTGAAACGGCTGGACGGATTTTGACGGGACTTTTTTTGGTACGTAGCTAATGCAATAAGGAGTAACTTAGGCTACTTTTCTTTTAAAAAAATAAAGTTAAATCCAAGCGGACGAAGTCGCGGGTACAGGTAGTAGTAAATAAAATTATATACAGTAAGTGTAATGTACAAGGGCGTGCTTATCTCTAAAAAGAGATTTCTTCCAGCAAATCTAGAATGTTATAAAATAGTGTTTATTATGTTTATTAAATAGAATATTAAGGTGAAGGTAAAATCTACAACAATATTAAGTATTACTGTAGATTACCTCCGCAATCTTACTCAAAAATCTTACTAATATTACAAACCCGAAAGTTTATGAGTACGGACAGACGGATGGATGTATGGTTGGTTGTTACTCTTTCAGGCAAAAACTACTGAACGGATTTAGATGAAACTTTACAGTAATGTACATCAGAATACTACATAGGCTACAAACTTCATATGGGTGAAACTGCGGGTTCAACTAGTTATATATAATCTGTAAAAGTCACTTGATTGTTATTTACATGTATTTATATATGTACTGTTACCCCATGCTTACGTAGACATTTTTAAATTAATTTATTTTTAAATTACATGATTTATTCGTGTAAAAAAGTAAATAACTACCGACGACGCCAACGACGAATCATCATCTGGACTCCCCTACACTCCACGTCATCCAAAATAAGCAAAGTACCCCCCCCCCCATAGTGATTACGTAATACTTGAACAGCCCCCAAAAAATAAGCACAGTAACCCCCCCCCCCTCCCTAAAGATATTACGTAATACTTGAACAGCCCCCAAAAAATAAGCTCAGTAACCCCCCCCCCCCCCCCATAGACATTACGTAATACTTGAACAGCCCCCAAAAAATAAGCACAGTTAACCCCCCCTATAGTGATTACGTAATACTTGAACAGCCCCCAAAAAATTAAACACAGTAACCCCCCCATAGTGTTTACGTAATACTTGAACAGCCCCCAAAAAATAAGCACAGTAACCCCCTACCCCCCCCCCCCCATAGTAATTACGTAATACTTGAACAGCCCCCAAAACAATAAGCACAGTAACTCCCCCCCCCCCCATAGTAATTACGTAATACTTGAACAGCCCCCAAAAAAATAAGCACAGTACCCCTCCCCCCCAAAGTGATTACGTAATACTGGAACAGCCCCCAAAAAAATAAGCACAGTAACCCCATAGAGATTACGTAATACTTGAACAGCCCCTAAATACTTGTTATTTTCAATAATACCACCTAATACACTGTGACACCTGTTCACACACTCATATGGAATTTCCACTTGGAACAATAATCACTTGTAAGTATATGTGTGTGTTTGTTGCCCCAAATTACGAGGTCACGTCCTAGCAATGCCGTGTACACATCTGTCTAAATACACGTCAAACTTGATCTAATTGTACATGGGACCTAACGGAAATAATCTATGTATCTTACGAATATTATAAACTAGCTGTACCCGCGCCTTCATTCGCGTGGAATTTAACAAAAAGTTAATTAAAGATTTTTTCTAAAATAAAAGTAGCTAAGTTACTCCTTATTACGTCAGCTACCTGCCAATAGAAGTCGCGTCATCGCGAAATTGGTCCACCCATTTCAGAGATTAGCCGGAACAAACAGACAGACAGACACAAATTGTAAAAAAATGTTATTTTTTGTGTATGCACCGTATTTATATTAATATGCATGTAGTAAAAAGGTTATTTCAATATTACAAGCAGACACTCCAATTTTATTCGTATGTATAGATATATCTTATTTAATATTTATTATACAGCTTAAAGCCAAAACATACTGGTAACGATGAATGTGACCACTCAGCATTTATACTGTAGTATAAAGTTCACAGCGCTAATTTTCAGTTTTCAAAACTTTTCAAATTCAACTGATAGTTTCAGAAATAGATTTCAAACTGTCTTACTTTATATATTAGTAGATTAATATAAAAGTCTGTATTTTTGAAACTTCAAAAACAGATTTTTTATTATACAGAAGAATGTATTCTAATATATTCGCACTTTAAAGAAATATTTTTTTTTATACTCTTTATTGCACCAATTACAGAACAAAAACAAAAAAACAATTAAAATGGAAAATATACACTGATACAAAATATCGCTAAGCAATCTCTTCCAGACTACCTTTAGGTGGATAGAGAAATAAAAATAAGAACAGGGTAGGTGACGCACGTAATAAATATATATGAAATATATATGACATATATCAATATATACTATATATATATATATAAACATATATACACATTAATACATGTATACATACACATACATATACTTAATAGTGCACATACATTTGGAAAATATATCTTAGATATCTAAGAATATTTCTATATACAATATATTTTAGATATCATTACAAAGTATAAAACAAAGTCACTGTCGCTGTCTCTCCGTCCCTATGTATGCTTAAATCTTTAAAACTTCGGAACGGATTTTGAAGCGGTTTTTAATAGATAGAGTGATTCAAGAGGAAGCTTTACATGCATAATACATGTACGAGTAGCTAGTATTATATATAATAATAATAATAATAATAATAATAATAGTAATCTAGAAAATTCACACAATTTATTCAAATAAACTTACTAAAGCTTGTGTTATGGGTACTAGACAACTGATACATATACATAGATATTTTTGTTTGTAAATACATATTATACATAGAAAACACCCAGACTGATAAAAACAATCATACTCATGAATACAAATGTGTGTGCCATGCGAGGAATCGAACCCGCGACCATCGGAAGGAAAGCGGTGTGTGAATACAAACTACCGATTAGCACTATATAATATATATTATATATATATATATAATATATTTTATATCTCATAAATATTAACTGAATATCATATATTTATGTTCTTTTCATATAGGTTTAAAAATAAAGTTTGTTTTCAGACGATACGACTACGCTGTTGTTTGTTATGATAAATATTTACTGCCTACAGAAAAAGTATCATATCTGTTTTCATATAATTAATGTAATGTAATGTTTATATATAACTACCTACTCGCCCCGGCTTCGCCCGGGTGTACATGTATTATACATATAAACCTTCATCTTGAATCATTCTATCTATTAAAAAAACTGCTCCAAAATCCGTTGCGTAGTTTTAAAGATTTAAGCATACATAGGGACGGACAGCGGCTATGTTTTATTGTGTATGTAATGATATCTACAATTACTTCGTAATTATAATTCTTTCTAATATTACAAAAGCGGAAGTTTCTGAGTTGATGAGAGATGGATGGATGTTCATATACTCTTTCACGCAAGAACTACTGAATGGATTCTAATGAATCTTTAAAATGACATAGCTTATACATCAGTAACCGTGGTCACAACTAATCTATATATATATATATATATATATATATATATATGACTCAAAGGTGACTGACATAGTGATCTATCAACGCACAGTCCAAACCACTGGACGGATCGGCCTGAAACTTGGCATGCAGGTAGATGTTATGACGTAGGCATCCGCTAAGAAAGGATTTTGATTCATTCTACCCCCAAGGGGATGAAAGCTTGTATGAAACTTTGTCAATTTTAAACCGATCGGGCTGAGACTTTGCATGCATAAAGCTACTATGACGTAGGCATCTAAGCAAGCAAGCTAGTAAAAGCTAATTACTACATATAGATAGATAATAGACAAGTAGACACCATAAATTATAAGCTACTGAAGAACTGTAATTACTTTAACTTCTGAAATATATTTGGACTTACCTACCGCTTTCAGGGGTTTGTTTCAGATCCGGTTGCCATAGCAACCAGTGGCCCCTACACGACCTGTAACAAATAAAACAGCATAATGATTATATCTATATATTGACTACTACTACCAGCTACTGCTAGCTGAATCGCGCAACTTCGTCTGTGTTTCATTTCCCCACCTTTTGCAATATTTTTCATTGCAACTCTCCTCCTATTGGTCGTAGCGTAATGTTATATAGCGAGGGGAAAAGTATTGCTAGTAATGTGGACTCTCGACCCCATTGCTAGCAATGTACCATGTCAGGTTGACCTCCACGCGGTTCCCCCTAGAAACCATCGTGATAAATTCCAGATGAATTTATCACGATGGGCTAACTGACCTGACCTCATTCTCATCTTATCATCTTCCACTGGTGCCCCGCCAGCGTAAACCGTTAGCGCAGGCGGGTGCACCATTTCATTATCATATACAAAAAAAATGTATAGCTTAGAGCTTGCCTCGACAAATGGACTATGCAACACAAAAATAATTTTTCAATTCTAACTAGTAGTTCCTGTGATTAGCGCGTTCAAACAAACAAACACTCTTCAGCTTTATAATAATATATATATATGTATATATATAGAAGATATGTTTTAGCGTATATGTCTTTGTTTACTATATATTAGGTGCCTGCCTGACTGGGTCCTTAATTATATAACAAACTCAGTGGTCTAGCGGTTTAGTACAACGCCTTAATTCTAGTGGTCGCAGGTTCGATTCCTTGCACTGTACAAACTCGTAAAAACGGTATTCTTAAGTATCGGTTGTTTGTATCGGTATAGGTGGTTTCTGTGTGTACTATATAATATAATATCTCAAGATAATTCACACAGCGCCATCTAGTCCAAAGTTAAACAAAGCTGTTGTAATGGGTATTAGTGAATTGATATAAATACGTTGCTATATTTTTTGTAAATACCTACATAATTGATGCGTATGTAAACATTTCTTAATATTAAGAAAATGTATTTGTGTTTTCTTCTAAAGAAAAGATATTAATTTGTTTTTGACATTCTGACAGCGAGTAATCAATGAGCTACATAATAAGTCGGACGTTTTAATTCATATATATAGTAATAATATTCATTAAATATGTCGTGTTACAATCTATCTTCACGTCAAATTTCATTAAGTTATGTTCAGCCGTTTAGTCGTGAAAAAATAACGAAGATACGCCCAGATAAACAGACATATTAATAGATATTAGTATGCATTAATATACGTCTTTTTCTAATTAATTTAATTACCTCAATTACTTACATAATTAATTAGAATTATTACATTCTGAACAACGCTACCGACTCTCAACAGTCTCAACAAATATATTTGTATAAACCCAAAAGTGGGGTACCCTCTGCTACATTTGTACTGTGCATATTTATAGACTACTGTTGGCACTTTCTATCAGGTGGGCCATTCCTTGCTCTTCCAGTTACATAATAAAAAAAGAAGCCATAGACAAGTCAATAGGCCGCTAATATGAACAATGAGCGTATTGAACGTTCCGAAGTGCAGTGCGTGCCGACTGCCGATTGTAGAACCCAAGGTTTTTGTGCTATCCGGTTTTTGCGTGGAGCCATTGAACCGACAATCTTTCCTATTAGACGATTAGATAACTTATAAAAAACATATTAAAGACGATTTTCGTTTGTTAACGACAGTTGAGATATGAAGTTGTTACCACCGTGAGAAGTTCAAGGTCTGACGTTGCGTTTCCGGAGAATTGTGTTGTGATTTTGTTTTGTGACTTTTGTATAAACATTGTAATATTGACTGTCGTAGAAATTCTAGAAATTATATCTATTACCACCGGTCACACGCTGTGTTAAAGCTATATTAAATTTTAATAAAAAATATAGTAATAATAATAATAATAATAATCTTTATTTACTGCTCACAAGGAAACTTACAATATTGACAAAATAACAAAAGTATGTATTTAATCTTACAAGCTATTCCTTGTGAGTCTGGAGTCTGAACTAAGTCGAGACCTGTACTACAGATCTCCAGGCTCTCTCCGAGGACTTACTGGTATTTAATAAATCTAACAAATGTTTTTGTGAGGTAAAGTTGTATAATGTGTCGCTAGTTGCGGTATATAATATAGTTAATGATATGTGTGTGTGTGAAATGACTGTGAGTGTCTGTATGAGAGAGGGAGGGTATATAGTCTATGTGTTATTCTGATGCATAAGCTATATTACTCAAATTCAAAATATCTTTATTCATGTAGATCTATTACAGACTTATGATATGTCAAATCTACCGTCAGTTCGGAATGATTTCGAGATAAGAACTGACAAGAAACTCAGCTCGTATTCTCTTCAAATTAATATACTACATGTTTACAATAACACAGATTAATTTTTAAATTCAAACTTGGGAGAATAGAGTGACCACCAGCATATGTTATTGCAACAGCAAATAGTCTAATTAGTGTTCGCAACCCAAAGAGACCAGTCCCCATAAGCAGCACCCGTTCACGAGTATGACGGATGAGCCAGCCATCATTGCACTCAACCATATTAGAGGGAGCACATTGACCCGGCCCACCACGCCGCCACAAGTTTGAACTTTATAGCGAACATGACTGTTTCAAGTTACTCCACTACGTCATTTATATTATTTACAGCATAAACTGTACCAATCAATAAACTGAGATTGGTAATTTTCACCCATTACAATATTTACTGTATAGTATCATCAAAATACGTTCAGTACTTTTTGCGTGCAAGAGCAACAAACATCCATACTCACAAACTTTCCCGTTTGTAATATTTTTACTTTTTAGTTGTAAATAAATACATTACTTTTCCTACAAATAAATGTAGGCTAAGTTACTCTTTATTACATCAGCTACCTGCCAATAAAAGTCCCATCAATATCGGTCCAGACATTTCAGAGATTAGCCGGAACAAACAGATAGACCAAAATTGTAAAAAATTATATTTTGCTGTATGTACCGTATTTACTCGTAAATTCACATGCATGTAGTAAAAAACGGTTATTTCAATATTCCAAACAGACACTACAATTTTATTTATATGTATAGATGTAAAGTATTACAATTGCAAAATAAATAATGTAATTTCAAACAGCTGACAAAAATAAGAGAAAGCGATGCACTCCGAGCAACGTGCATTACTTTTGAATGTTTGACAATTTTGTCGCGAGTAGAAAGTTTTTTTATGAACGTTATGTCCATTCTTTACATAACAGTATTACAATTAGGTATTCTTTAAATGTATCCAAAAATTCTGGAAATTTCCTTTCTCATTTCAAATTAAACATTACTATAGAGATTAATTTAGATATATAGATAAATCCTTTATTTGATTACTAGATGTGCCTGCGACTTCATCCAAATAAATTGTCGATACTTCCATTAAACCTTTCATCTCCCTTTTCAACCCCTTACAACCCTTATTTCGGATTAAAAAGTAGCGTATGTTCTTTCTCTGCTTCTTGACTATATGTGTACCAAATTTCATTTATATTGGTTGAGTAGTTTTGGCGTGAAAGCGATATAGACAGATAGACAGAGTTACTTTCGCATATATTATTAGGAAGTAAGTATTATTAATCGTCACACACAATTACAATTGTATAAATATACTAGAGGGTGCGTGTATGCGCGAGGCTTTGTCGTTGATAATTCGACAAGAGACGTTTTTGTCGTTATGTATGATCCTCAGCAATGCAAGGTCGTAAATTCAATGTTGAAGATAGGAAGGAAGGACGGATCAATCCTTGATATAAATACTAATACATTTTCTTTTGTAATTACAGACATACATACATGAAAACACACAGATATATAATACAAACAATCATGAATACAAATGTTTGTAGCGTACGAGGAATTTAACCCCCGACCATCGGAAGTAAAGCAGTGTGCTAAACTGCTAAACCACTGAGGCCCTCAATAATATATTAATACTAGCTGTTCCCACGACAATGTCCGCGTGTAATGTAACTTTTTCTAAAATAAAAGATATTTTCTATAAAAGTAGGCTAAGTTACTCCTTGTTACATTGGCTACCTGGCAAAAAAAATTCGACAAATTCGAAAACAAACAGACAGACAAAATTAAAAAAATGTTATTTTTGTATATGTACCGTATTTACTCGTAAATTCATATGCATGTAGTAAAAAACAGTTATTTCAATATTACAAACAGACACTCCAATTTTATTTATATGGATAGATGTATAGATTTATTATAGGGAGAAATGGAACTGAAATGTGGATTGAAGAACCCATTGCAGGTAATGTACCATGTCAGGTTGATCTCCACGATGGTTTTCCCTGGAAACGATGACATAAGTTCCTTATAGTTTCTCATAATGGACTAACTGACTTTATCTTATCATCCTCCACAGGTGCCCCGCTAGAGTAAACCCGCGCAAGCAGGTGCACCATTCCATTATCCATTGAATAAATTATTACATAGTATAAAACGAAGTCGCTATCGCTGTCTGTCCGTCTCTATCATTTTATGGTAATTGCGTAAGATTCTATAATAAACTGCCAGAGTCTACGCTAAATCTTACAGAGAGGCAATTCAAATCTTATATTAAACAAATGCTATGTAAAAAAGCCTATTATAAGATAGATGAATTTATAGATGATAGCAATATATAGCAAGAATAAGTTTATTTGCGGACAACGTTATAATTTTAATTTTCATACTGCTTTCTTGATATACGATAGCGTAGCGGCTTTTGTATTGATTGCCGCATGCATCCTTATGTAAAGTGCGAATACTGTAACTACCATATAGTAATTTTTGTAGCTGTGACGTGGTCGTGTGGAATGAGTAGTCATGCTCACTAAAATGTCCAGACATGTGGCGGCGTGGTGGGCCGGGTCTATGGTCGAGCGCAGTGATGGCTGGCTCATCCGTCATACTCGTGAACGAGTGCTGCTTGTAGGGACTGGTCTGCTCTTATCACTACGACTGATTTAATCTTATTGCATGATTATATTTGACCCAAAAAATTAGTGCTTGTTGGTAGTTTGTATTCACACG